AAAAAAAAAAAAAAACCCAAAATACCCATGGTTTGAAGCCAGCTCTCATGCTATATAATCAGTTACCCAAGGCAGAAGTTATTTGTACAAATCCCAACACTCTATTCAAGATCTCTTCCAAAAACCAAACCAAACTCACTGCCATTGAGTCTGATCCAACTCATAGCGACCTCTCCTTGGGTTTCCAAAGCAGTATCACTACGGAAGTAGATTGTCCAATCTTCCTTCAGAGGAGTGGCTGGTGAGTTTGAACAGTCAGCTTTCTGGTTAGCAGTCAAATGCCTTCGGTACTATACCACCAGAGCTTGGGTTTAGGAATTTCTGGTTAAAAATCACTGCCATAGATGCAAGACAGCAAATTCTCTGTATCATCAGATGTAATCCTCCATAGATAAAAAACCTTCTGTTCCAAAATTAAAGGTCAGAAGAGCAATGAAAGTAAGATGCTATGTTCAGCATACAATGTATGCCAAGATACTAGAATCTAAATCTAACTAGGAACAATCTAGTTATTCCTATATTATCCTGTATCTTCACTCACATAGTCTCTTCCTTTTTCAGCCCCAGTACAGAAACTACTAGGACAGAAGCAAATAATAGGTACTTCATGAATGCTTGTTGGCTATATGGGTAAAGGGAAGAAGTAGAAAAAAGACTAAGGGGAAGGAAACAAAACCATTCATGGAGTACCTCTAAGCTAGGAGTTTTGCATGTTAACTAATTTTATTCTTAGCCCTCTATGAGGTAAAGTATCATTACCTGCACTTCATAGCTCTAAAAACCAAAGATCATAAAGGTTACCTAACTTATCAATTTCACAAAGTAGAAATGGTAATTCCCAGTTGAGTCTGACACACTAAGGCATTCTGTAGTTTGGGAGGCAGAATTTTAGCCTTTGCAAAACTTTTACCTACTCAATGATAACGTTGTTGGGATCCAGGTCTTTCCCAGTCCCTTGGTTGACAACTTTCATGGAGAGGGATACTTTTATCCTATCATTTTTCATCTGAAAAAGACAAAAACAAAGTCACCAAAAACTCTCAATACATCTACAAGACAGCTGGTCTAAAATGATCTAAAGGTCAAAGCCTTTCATTATCGTAACAAGCATTTATTGAGCTCCTAGAATGAACCAAGTATTGTGTTAGGAACCTTGTGGGAACAAAGAAACATAATATCCAGACCCTGCCACAGGAGATTTCTAGGAAATGGTCCTCATCTCATTCCTGTCCCTCTTGAGTAAAGACAGAAATAGCTGCTGAGAAATTCAAGACCTGTAGGAAAAACCAGTTGTTTCTTCCGGGTAAGTGCAGTTTAGCAATCAGTTGAGTTCATAAGCCCACAATGGGTTTCCAAATTCTCCACAAACTAGATCTTCTTTTGGAATTTGTCTAGAGCGTCTTTAAGAATGAAGACACTTGTTAACTACATTGGTCTTCTTCATTTCAGGGTCTTTGCATCAGCTTTTCTCTTTGCCTGCAATATTCTTAACCAAACTCTTGACTAGTTCCTTTTCCTTTCAGCCTCAGTTCATATGCCTTTCCTGACCATTTTATCTAAATCTATCTCTAATATTGTTTGAACCCATCATAGCATTTAATATAATTAGTAATTATTTTATGTATATGTTTGTTTATATTTTTTCACTTGTCTTCTCTATGACAGCTCAGATCATTTACATCTAGTTCACTTTTGTATCCCAAAAATCTAACATGTAGTCAGCACTCAAATAGTGCTGAATGAGCTCTCTTTCAGGCTTGCCTGCCTTGCCATTCTCAGGTAGAAGAGCAAGATGCTGTTGTATATTCCTATTTCTCCTGTCGTTAAGTGAGTCCTTCAGACCCTTCTCATCTCTTCCATACTGCATGGTGCCAGAGACTGGGAGAAATGATTATCAACTCTCTGTGTCCTTATTCTTTTGGGTCAAACTGAAGTGTGCCTGGCAGATATTCTTTGAAGTTTGTGATAAAAACTTATCCTTATAAAGTAAGTGTTCTCCTCCCTCTCTTTTTTCCCCCTCCATTCACCATTTGAGTGAGCTTCAAGGAGAGAAGTTTTATAAATATGCACTTATTCCACCATACTTACTGCAGTCTACACCTTCCTTCTGAGGTTGCAGGACAGAAGCCAGAAGGTTTAAATTCAGGACAGACTATAGAGGTGGGATTCTAAAGTAAGATTATCTGTCACAGTTAAAATATATATACACTCACCAACATAAAGTATCAGGAAAATCCTAGCTTTTACTAATCCTTTCTAACCACATGAAAGTTGTACAAAAACTTTACCTCTCGGCCAATAAGCTTCACCCACACTTTGTCGCCAACATCTACTATCTCAGAGGGCTTATCTACTCGACAGGATGACATGTGAGTTCGATGGACAAGACCTGGGTGGGCACAAGAAAAGAAATAAAATAAAGCACAGGGTTTATCTTGCCTTTATACTATAAATGACTAGGTAAGGAGAAGATGAGAGCTGGAAAATGAAAATGAGAAAATATTTCCCTAAAAACTACAAATTAAGACAATTTGAGACAGCAAACATTCTTTAAAATAATATTCAATGTTAGTAAAGATATGATACAATAACTACACTCACATAATCCTGGTAGCATCATAAGTTGATAAATTTCTCTGAAAGCAAAGGGTATAAAAATAGTTCTATCTTTGATGTAAGAATTGTTCCAACCAATCATTGGAATTTTCTCTTGGAAAAAAAAAAAATAGAGACAAAAACCTCTGGGCATAAAATTCCATATTATTACTTATAAAAGTTAAAAAAATGTAAAACCAAAAAACCAAAGCCATTAGTGTCAAGTCTATGCCAACTCACAGCAAACCTACAGGACAGAGTAGAACTTCCCCACAAGGTTTCCAAGGCTGTAATCTTTATGGAAGCACAGTACCACATCTTTCTCCTCTGGAGCAACTAGTGGGTTCTAACCACCAACCTTTCGGTTAGAAGCCTAGCACTTAACCTACTGGGCTACCAGTGCTCTTGGAAAAAATATTTGGAAAACAGTATTATCCAGTGGTGAGGGTACAGTAAAATAAGAAATGTTGCTAAGGGCTAAATTTATTCTTTGGAAATCATTTGGCAATGGATATCAAGAATGATAAAAATATTCAAATCCTTCACACTAGACATACTTTTCTTTCTGCCCAAAGTCCCTTCCTCATATTCTATAATAACATGGTCAGTCCACAGGATTTAGGTGGAGATGATCTAACTCTTAATTGTGAGCAAGTAACACCGTCTTAGTCAATCAAGGTACACCATCTTCCTGGCCAAAGAAGCTGATCGGTTCAGAGACAGATATAAGACACTAGCTAAATCAAGACTTTGGTCAGGATTACTAACTATAAAAATACCAATGCCTGTGTTTACCACCAGGTGGCAAGAAACTGCCAGAGGGAAGCAAAGAAGATCATTAGAAAACAAGAGACAAAGCCCTAGTTGTATACTTGAGCACCTGATACAGAATGGGTGAAACAAAATTCTTCCTGAGCTCCCCAGTTATATTAGCCAAAATGTTATATACCCATGTTTCTCAACTGTGTTTCTGTCTCTTGCAACCAAGAATTTTAACTAATAATTAATTTGACCCATAATCACATCTGGAAATCTGTCCTCAAGTAATAATCTTATATAGAGGAAAAGCTGTATGTATTAAGAAAAGCTACTTACATCAAAATATGCAATGTATTTTTAAAATAATAATAATAACAACAACAAAAAACAACAACTCAGAAACAATCTAACAGCCAACAAAAGGGTTAAGTATATTATATATAGCCACTTGATGGCTCATTAAAAATGATGTTTAAAAGATTATATAAAACATGCTCTGGTAGTTAAGTTTGTGTGTCAACTTGGCTGGCCCTGGTTGAGTGGCTGGGCAGCTGGTGGTAGTTATTCCCTATGATGAGACCTGCAATCAACTCTATGGTGGGATCTACCACAAGCAGCTGCTTTAGGGATATGGTCTGCTTCCCATAAATACGCAGCAGCCTAGGGAATGGTCTCTAGCTAATGTCATGCTTTTACCCTGCATGTAGCTGAGTCGTTCTTCAGTAGCCCGCCATATCGCCCTGCCAATCTTAGAACTTTTAATGGACTTGAATTAATGGCCTGCCGTGTGGTTTGGTAATATCAGGACTGTGCCTCTTCACTTGTTGACCTTGGTTTGCTAGCCTCAGCAGCTGCCTGAGTGAAGAGATGCCTCTAGCTTCAGTGGGCCAAGAGCAAGAGGCAGAGCCAAAGCCCAAGCTCAAGGGGCTTCCACCCAGCCCCTCGACCCTGGCACTTTTAACTCGGACTTCTAAACTCCAGAACTGTAAGAGAATAAACTCCTGGTTGTTAACGCCATCCCGTCTGTGGTATTTCTGTGAGAGCACCAAAACACATGCCAAAAATTCATTTTTAGCAAGTATTACTGAGGTCCTACTATATGCCAAGTACTTTAGGCATCTAACATTTTTTCATACTAAATAACCACAGCAGAATGCAAAATTATAAGGTCTGATTACAAATGTTAAAAACAAAAAATTTTTTAAAAAGATCCAAAATGCTGGCAATGGTTATACTAGGGTATAGTATTACAAATTAATTTTGTCTTTCATTAATAATAGAGAAAAGTACTTCTCTTCTGGAAAAAAAATAATATAATAAGCAATTATTTTGAGCAAACATAAACCAGAAGTATAACCTAAGGAAAAAAATTGGTAAGGCAAACAAAGACACATGCCTATAACTACCCTGCCTGAAGCTGGGAGGGTCACTAACCTTTACATTCTCTCTTTGTCTCTCTTTCACACATACACACACAGACACACACACAGACACAGGGGTATCTGCACATGCTTACACCTCAAAGCATCTGCTTTCCCTATCCATGGCCACAGCATCTCTCACAGCTACTTCAGCTGATTCTGAGATTGATAACCTGTCTCTGAATAACTCTGGGCCTTCCAAAATGCCTTCTATACATCACATAATATTGTTGTTGTTGTTGTTATGTGCCAATGAGTTGGACCCGACTCATAGCGACCCCTCCTTGGGTTTCCAAGGCAGTATCACTACAGAAGTAGTTTGCCCCATCTTCCTTCCAAGGAGTGGCTGGTGGGTTTGAACCGCCAGCCTTCTGGTTAGCAGTCAAGTGCCTTAGCCACTATGCTACCAGAGC